AACGGGATGGCTGTTGTGTCTCGGGTGTTTTGACGGTGCATCACGCTGCCCACTTAATGCTTTCAAAGCATTGTGCCAGAAATAAGGCAGTGTTCTGACTCAGCCCTCCCAGGCTAGTTCCCCATGTTGCTGGAAACGGTCCGTTTCTTGGATTAATGTGTGTCAGATCTTACCACGTTACTGTAATTTTCAATTATTTGCTAACCCAGAATTGAACAGGTAAATTGGAGGATTAAATGGACGGAGTCAGTTGATCTGCAGGAAGCGTTTAGAACGTTGGCTGCTTCGTGGTGCTGGATGTAGGTGTTCGATATTAGTGGGCCTTCTTTTGATAAATGAAATGAAGTAATCCTCTCTTGATGAATTGTTTGCTCACGTCCTGTTTTCATCTGTTTGCTTTCTGGAGTCTTGGCGTTTTAGATTCCTGCATTCACTGATTTCATTCGACAGCCACGTTTGTTGGGACTCTACCGGTTGCACTCGAGGTTGCTGAAGCGGAAAAGAGGCCTTTGTTATAATGGTACCAAGGGATCTTGTAGAGACTGAGGTCTCTGCGTGTTTGGTGACTTCTTCCCAGAACTGACTTCACCTCCTCCTCATGTGGTTTGGTCCGCCTCATCTTCCTGGCTTAGTTTGACTGTCACTTCCTCACAGAAGCCTGTTTTCATTCCGTTCCTCTCCATTTCGTGGTGTCTGTTGTGGGGAGAGAGGGAGCAGGGCTGAGCTGACACCCTGTTGGGGCTTTGTTGTAACTCGCTGCTGGCCCTACAGCCAGGATGTGCTCAATGCCACACTGTCCCTGTCCTCAAAGTACCCACAACCGGCGAGGGGGCCGGCAGACCAGCCAGACCAGCCAGAGAAGGTTCGATGAGCCACTGGGATGCGGCAGTGGACGATACGAGAACAACGGACAGAAGCTGAAAGTTTCCACTGCCACGAAGCCACATGAATAAACGAGATAGGGCGTAGCATGATCGAGATGTGGAAATAGCAGCCCAGTGCCTGAGTCCGTCCTCGGAGCGGGCAGGGGTTACCTCCCCATGCTTCTAATGAAGCCACTGAGTGGCAGAGAAGGAAGAGCCCAGGGTCACACAGGGCGAGCTGGGCAGAGCCGGAAAGAATGTTCTTCCCTTCCACTGGCCCTTCTTGGGCACCCCTTTCTAACGGGCCACCATCCTGTGCCATGGCCTTTATGGTGCAGACATGTCCGTTGCTGTTACAAATTCTCTTCCTTTTGGGGAATCTGTGTCCTGCCCGCATTAGCTGAAGGATTGTTATGTGGCTCTAACTGGGGTCCTTGGGATCCAAATCCGGGCTGGGAGATGACTCCTGTCTGCTCCCAGGATGGACTCGGACGCTGCGTGGCCAACGCCTGAAAAGCCGCCCCGACGAGATGAGTCTTGAGGGTCCACGCCGACAGCCGGCAGCAGGCCCTGCCCCACCTCGGCCGCTCGGGACGGCCGTTCCAGAGCGACTCTGGTCCTATCACTTTGGCCTCACCGGCGTTCTCTGGGACAATCCGGGGATAGGTCTGATAACCCGGCAAGTTGCTCAGATTCTCGATCCCAGTTCTTCATCCCGGAGAGAGGTTAGCACTGCGTGCCTCCCCAGGTTTTGGGGTGCCCGGCTGAGATCACAGACATCAAGTCCCAGCACAGCTGCTGATGGACAGTAGCCCAGTGGGTAGAGCTTGCCAGTACTCGTGGGAAGAATGGATTAACGTCTTACGCAAGCAACCTCTTTCTTTCTGTGTCATCAGTCTTTTCTTTTCCTGGGCTGTGGTGTGAGCCCGATACAGCCATCTCACCGCCGGCCCTTCGAGGTCACTCTAGCCTCGGGTAAATACTACGTTTTCCGGCCGACTCTCCCTGCAGCTCTCAGGAGTATCTTGACCGAAAACAAGATAGTCTCAAAGCATTTGCTCTTTTATGATTAGTCATGGATCTACACTGCATTATTTTAATTAGGCAGCAAAAGATTATGTCAAGTGCTCTCCCAGGCCTGTGGATCGGGGTGTGAGGGACTGCTGAAACACTCGTCGTAACTGCTTCCCAGACTCCGAGACTTCTGTAGGGCTGGCTTGAGGAGCCACCTTCTTCCTTGTCTCTCGCAGAGCCCTGGGAGTATATCCATAAAAGGCTGACTCTTGATCCCAAGTGAGGTGATTATTCCATTTATTCATTGCAGAGCATCTTTTTAGCACTTAATCTTTTACTCTTGGAGCCAAGTGTATTGGTAATGAGTGAAAATATTTATCACTTTGGAGAATGGCTGTATCATCTTTCCTCCCGCTTCTGTGGCAGTGGGGAACCCGGCACCATTTTGCTCAGGCTGCCTGAGCACAATAATGATGCATTTATGTGAGTCACGAGTCCGCGTGGAAGGATGTGTGGCTGAGGTTCTATCCAAGGTGTGTAGAAATGGGCATCTCTGTGTTTGAAAAAAGATGATGCTATATTTAAGAACAAGTAGCCATTGGTCTCTGATTATGACTTGTCTGCCTTTCATGTGGCAAGGTTTTCCCCACACTTAGGACTTGCAACATTAGCGGAATCTAGAATTTGAGGTGCGTTCCCCTGGAATGAGGATGTAATTATATTCACCTGTTTATAGTATTGTTTCCTTTTGCCGTTTCTGCCGTGTTGCTCACGTAAGATACACAAAATTTCCTTTTTGTTCCTTGTCCAGTTCAGTTCAGTAAAATGCACAGAATATGTTTGCTGTGTGCCGTGCACTCAGGCCCTGGGGGTGCCGGGATGGAGAAGACACGGTCCCTGGGGGCAGCCAAGACAGCCCAGGCTTGTGGCCAGGCAGTGATGATGCTCAGAGTCGGGCATGGACAGGAGCATGTGGATGTGGAGAGGGTGTATGGGAGAAGGAGGCGGGGAGCTCACTCCTAGCCCCGTTGCCAGAGATGTTGTTCACCTTGAGTTGTGAGTTACAGTGGAGAATGGCCAGATGCCGAGAGGCAGTGCACCCCAGGCACGGAAATCGTTAGCAAAGGCTCGGCAGAACATTGCCAGAACAGAAAGACTTCCTAACATGCAGGGTGGAAGTCAGAGAGAAGGGTCAGGTCCGGGAAGTTAGTTCGGTTCTGTAGGGTCTTCTGGGCCGCGGTCTGAAACTTCAAATTTGTTCTGCCTGTTGGAGCCATTGGTGGTATGCAGGAAGGGCTGTGGGAGAGCTTATGTGCGAGATCATCTGGATGGAGGACGGGCATCCGTGTGGATGGATGGATGACGGACGGAGGGAGGAGGAGGAAGGCTGGGTAGGTGGGGGGACGAGCGGTTAATTGATGGATAGATGGATGGGTGGATGACAGATGGATGGGAGAGTTGCCTGAAGGCAAGGACACCGGGTTAGAGGCTTTTCCCTTGTTCAGGGAAGAAATGAGGAGGGCCTCCACCAGTGTGGAGGTATCGCAACAGAGAAATAGGAATATTTAGAAGGTGAGATTAGGGCTGAAAAACTGAGGTGAGCGCAGCTGGGGTCACGGAGATGTTGCGGAAGGCTACCAGGTCTCTGACTTAGTGATCGGTGTGGGGGGTGGGGTGACGGCGAGGAACTACGGGGGCTGGAGATAGGACCCAGTTGATGGGGAAGAGAATATGTCCAATTTAGCACCTTTGGGTCAGCTAAGCAGTAGTCCGGCAGACAGTTGGATACTCAGGTCTCAAGATCGGGGAAGGGTCGAAGACGCAGAAGAATGAAGAAGAGTCAGAGTGGAAGGTACAGATTTTGGCATTAAAGGTTTGCAGAAGTCCACAGGGGAAGGTTATACGCAGAGACGCTTGTAGCAGGAGAAGAGTGGAGCGTGGGCCAGAGCGTTGTTGTGGAATGCGGGTGTGTAAAAGGCGTGGTTGGGAGAGAATGCCTCCCGACACCGAGGATGCTGGCCTGTTAGCAGAGTCCAGTCCAATGGACTGAGACCCGCCACTGGCTGGGCATCACGGCTTTTCCTTGGTGAGAACGGCTTTCCGGTGACTGGTGCCGTGAGGCATTTTCACTTGGTTTGAGAGAGCATCGGACGGGAGGCTGCAGGCTGCAGGCTGCAGGGGGAGGGAACCCTCACCTGGCTCGTCTGAGAAGGAGAGAAGGGCCGGGCCCCTGGGAGGGGCCAGTGGCTCTGTGCTACCACGTGGCGTGGCTGTGCTCCTGGCTCCCCGATGGGCTCGTGCCCTTAGAAACCGCTGGGTGAGCAACTGACCGCTACCAGAAGTAGGTCAGGTTTATATTGGGTCGTGCGTCTGTGCCACTGTTTTTACTTCTGCTAACCAGGGGGAAAAAAAGGTAGTGTGCCCGTATATCCATTCATTTGTCTTCACAAATAAATCGTGGGCTGGTTCATCCCAGTAACGAACGCCTGCGTAGCGCCCAAAGAGCAGTGTTTTCTGCTTCTGTGCGGTTTCTTTCTAGCATCCCCCCAGACCTGCCTTTCATGTCCCCACCAAGGTAGGGGTTCCAGACACACGTCTTGCTGCCTTGCTCAGGGGCTCTGCATTCTCCTGGCTCTTGGGGACGGTGCGACGCTCTCGGTCACGTGCCACAGGCCCTCGGTGCTCCGGCCCCACAGCCTCTCCGGGGCCAGTGCTTGCCCCACCGTAGACCTTGGGCTTTAGGTCCTGGAAGGAAGACCCAGCTATTCCGGTGTCCTGGGCACCCAGGGTCCCCACCTCTGTGCTCGCCATGTGCACCTCTTTTCTCTAGTCGGCCGGACACACCTTAGACACCTTACCCTCCCTTTAGGGGCCTGCTCAGATGTCGTTGCTCGTGGGGTTCCCCTCCCCAGGCACGGCCGGCTGTTTCTCTCCCTCCACGGCCAGCCCCTTTGTGTTGCCACTTGTGTGGACAGAGTGTGCTGTGCTGCCTCGTGTCTGTGCTCGTGCAGGCTGTCCCCCCGGAGGTTCTGGACTACCCACATGGCAAGGGGCATCCTCGCGCACCTGGTTCCGTGCCTGGCCCTTGACGCACTCGTTCACCTTGTCCTCCCTTGTTTCCAGGGAAGCAGTTCAAGTGCACGGTGTGTGACTACACGGCAGCCCAGAAGCCCCAGCTGCTGCGGCACATGGAGCAGCACGCCTCCTTCAAGGTGAGAGGACTCGGCACGTGGGGCCCGTGCTCACGCTGCGAGTGCGTCGCGTGGCAGAGTGGAGAAGTCACTCTTTGGGGGTTCCCCTCGCTCCCGGGCCCCCGTAGCTCGTACACGTGGAGCCTGGGGCAGGACTCGTGTCGTGGTGTGCCCCCCCCCCCCCTTCCAGAAGTGTGGCATTTCTGTGCCCCTTGGAGACCAGGTCCAGGGAGGGACCGCGTGTGACGCTGCAAAGGCCGGGGAAGAGGCCTGCTCTCACAGTGGGGACCCAAAGCGCTTTAGAGGAGAGGATGTGAGCTGTAAGGAGGGCTGCTTCAGGTCCTGGCTGGCCTCCGGTGTGTCCCCGGCACAGCAGGTGTGACGATGCCACCCCCCCCCCGGAGAGCTAGACTTGGTGTCCGTGCGGTGCCCGGCGGGTCGCCGCGGCTCTGGAGCTCGTGGCGCTCGTGCTCGTTTCATAGCTGTAGCTGATCTCTCTTTAACGTACCCGCTGATTTCCACCTGGCCGCTGCTCGTGCCGCAGTTACGGCCGCAAGAACCGCGGTCCGGTGAACTTGTCCCATAGAGACTTCTGCTCAGCACTGGCAACTCAACCTGAAAACCGCTGCCGCTCCCGCATGTACGCATGGTGATGGAAAACAGGGTGCCCTGAAATGTTTGTGGAGACCGTGCACCCCGAAACCCGGAGAACGTAGCACGTGGGAGGGGCTGTGGGCCGCCACACCGGCAGGCTGCGTTTACTGAGCCTCTACTGTATGCCTACGCTCTGCATCAGCTCGCACCTCCCCGACAGAGGACACTATCATCCCTGTTTGATAGAACCCCACCCAGAGAAGGTACGCGATCACCTGTCAGGCTTGTCTGCCGTGCCCATATCTACAGATGTCAGTCACTGTTGTCATACTGACCTACCTGTGTCGTGACTGCTCTGAGGGGACGAGGACCCGCCCCCTCCGCCTCCCTTTCACTGGCAAACTCTTCTGATGCTCAGAACAGCCCTGTGAGAGAGGAGTTCTCAGGATCTTGCCTCATTTAGTTAAGAAACCCAGTGGCTCAGAGGGGTTACGGGCTTTTGTGTTTTAAACATCCAGGAAGTGAAGGAGCCAGAACTTGCACTTGGCCTCCGAGTCCAAGGCATGGGGTTCTCCCACCGTCTGTTCTCCCCTGTGCGCGTGGGGGGGGGGGGGGGCGGCCACACAGGAAACCGTGAGGGCCCCGCACCTGTAGCCTGCCTAGCTACTCTACTGTGGCCTCAGTGGACCTGTGTTTCACAGGCAGGACTGGCACGTCAACTTGTGGGGGTGGCAGGAGGTTCGTGAGCGTCCTGCAGATTTTGAACAGGATTAAAGTGAAGAGTGTTATCTCAGGTTTCACAGCCGCAGATGTGTTTCTCTGGGGGACCCTGGGCTGTCGTAGACAGCGCAGTTTGGGTGCTGGGAACAGATCTCTGGGGTGGCCCTCGCTCTGTAGACAAGAAAGTTGGACCAGGCAAGGTTATTTACCGTCCTCACTCTCCCAGGATTGGAACCAGATTTTTCATTTGTTCCTTGGTTCTCAGTGCGGAACTTTTTCCCTCACCAAGCAGGTGCAGCTGGACGGTCTCTCTACCCCGGAATCCTCACTGCTTTCTTTCTCAGCTTTGTAGCGTCTTTGGCTTGTGTGCAGAGGAAGTGGACTTGAGGATCGTTTGAGCTCAGGTGTCCCCTTCCTGTGTAGTTCTCAACTGTGTCCGGCTGTCACACAGCTACCGTGTGCTGCTGGGACCTCGGGAGTCACGGGGCCATGCTGGCCTTGGGGTCAACTCCGGTTCCTACGGGCTTCCTGGGGCTTCAGGTGCCCTGCCCCCGCTGGAGCGAGAACCGCTCAGACCTTGGCCTCTCTCCTCCTCCGGGCTGGCTTCTCTGGTGTTTCTCACGAGACTGGGACTGACAAACAAAACGAAGCTGGTTCCCGCCAGCCACCCTTATTCACGCTGACAGGTTATCACCCTTCCCTTTGGTCGCTATCATAGTTTTCTGTCACTGCTCTAACCAACACCTCCAGCTTGGCAGCCAAACACTACCGGGCATTATCGTGCAGTTCCGAATTCCAGCATGGGTCTCACCGAACGGCCAGGTGACGGCAGGGCCGCGTTCTTTAGGGAGGCTCTCAGAGAAAATCCGTCCCCGTGCCTTTTCTGGAGGCCACCTGCACTCCTCGGCTCCTGGCCTCAGCCCTCCATCTTGAAAGCCAGCAACACAGCATCCCACCTCTGCTCTGACTCTCTTCTGCCTCCCTTCCGCCTTTCACCTGTGAGGACCTTTCACCCGTGGGTCCACGTGGATGGCCCAGGAGAAGGTCTATACCTTAAGGTCAGATGATTAACAGCCTCAGCCCTACCTGTGGTCTTAACTTCTCTTTGTCATGCAAGCTTCCAGACATCGGGACTTGGACATCCTTGCGGAGGCATTATTCCCCCTGCTGTATCCCGCCCCGCTCTGTTTTCTTCCTTTAGCATCTGCTCCCTGGCAGATTTCTATCAAAATCCAAAAATACACAGTCTGTGTGGTCGCACACTCCCTCTGCCTACCAGTGGCAAACATTACTAAGAAATCAGGCCCCTCTGTTTTATCAGTCCTCGATGGGGCCTCAAAGCCTTTGTGCAGACACTACTAATCTATTGCAGTTGACTTTCAAAAGGAAACCAATTTGGTTTTCTAGATCTAGATGTATAATTTGCAATATATAATTTGTGTCACGGAACACTGTAATAAGGGCAGACTCTTGTATTGCCTTTTAAAATTGCATGTTGTTATTTATTTATTTTAAGAATAATATGTGTTCACTGAATAAGATTTGGAAAGCGCTTTTCGTTCCCTTTCTTTGTAGAATTTTTGGATATATTAATTTTTTTAGACGTAATTGAGGTCTTACTGTAAATGAGCATTTTTGGGTGGAGATTAAAACATCAGCTTTGCTGCCGATAAAGCTCTATTAGAGAACGCAGCTTAAATGAGTGGCCAGATGGTTTGCTAAGAATACTTTGCGTTGAGTTAGAATAGCCTCCCAGTCGAAGGCAGGGCTGGAGAGCCTGCCTGATTAGGACATTATAAATATTGCCTTTTTTAAATTATCACTTCATAGGCATTTTCCCATTTTATGAAAATATACTTACTGTAAAACTACTTTTAACGGCTGCTTAAGGATGAGTGCCACAGTTTAATTACCCATCCCCCTTGTAACTGGACAGTTTGGTTGTTTCCAGTTTTTGCCGTTAAAAGTAACTCCATGATGGACGTCTTCATGCCGAAAGCATTTCCAGGTCAGCGTGATATCGAAAGGACTGTAAAACATGGCACGAAGCCCATCAGACCACTGAGAATTCATAGGCAGCCAGGGTGTTACATGTGCTTCTTGCAGCTGTAATTAAAATGCATTCCCGGGGGTGGAACCGACCCCGTCAGTCCTAAGCACTTGCCCAGGAAGACGCCTGGACTGGGGTGGGGCTGCCACGGAGCCAGGGGCCTCCAAACAAAATGGGCTCGTTCCCTCCCTCTAGCTGCTCAACTCTTTGCTTCCTTGCAAATAAGTAAGCCAGCATGCTGCCCAGGAAGGTGATGCGATCACGGGCTGGACTCCCCTCGTTCAGTTTTCTCTCTCTCCGTTGGGCTGTGTGAACCCACAACTCTGTTGAGAGAAATGTTCTCAATGATGGGGCTAGGTGACCCAGTGGTGATCTCCTTACATGTGATAACAAGTGACTTTATTTCATTTAAAAAGTTTTATTTTAAAATTATTTATTTACTTTTAATTTTATTTTAGAGAGCGAGTAGGGGAGAGGGGCAGAGGGAGAGAGAGACAGAGATAGAGACACAGAGAGGGAGACAGAGAGAGAGAGAGTGTATCTCAGGTAGGCTCCACACTCAGTGGCGAGCCTGACGCAGGGCTTGATCCCACGACCCCAGGATCATGACCTGAGCCGAAATCAAGAATCGGATGCTCAACTGACGGAGCCACCCAGGCGCTCCTAAAATAACTTTAGACTCCCCTAAAGTCTGGCGGATTTCCCAGGTACCTATCCCCGCCTCTTCCCTCGATGATAACATCTTCTTTAACCATAGACTGCTGTCAAAACTGGGAAATGGACTTTGGTATCCTACTATAAACTAAACTGCAGGCCTCAGTTGGATTTTATCAGTCTTCTTTCTTTCTTAATTAATAAAGTATTTTTAAAGTAGTGTTACATTCACAGCACCATTGAGAGGAAAGTACAGAGAGTTCCCATATACCATCTGGCCCTGCTCCCCACATACAGCCTCCCCTGTTTCCAACATCCCCACCAGACTGGTACACTTGTCACAGTGGGTGAATCTATAGTGATACATCATGCTCACCCAAGGCCATACTCTACATTAAGGCTCAGCGTTGGTGTTCTCTTTCGGTTTTGACTGATGTATCATGACACGTATCCACCATTAAGGTTCTCATGCAGGGTGATCTCGCTGCGTTGAAAGTCCTCTGTGCTCTTCCCGTTCATCCCTGCCTCTCCCTTCTGCCCTGGCAGCCACTAACTCTTTTACTGTCTCTGCAGCTTTGCCTATTCCGGAATGTCCTAGAGTTGGAATTATACAGTCTGTAGCCTTTTCAGACTGGCTTTTTCACTCAGTAATATACATTGAAGGTTTCTCCATATCTTTTCATGACTTGAGAGTTCATTTCTTTTTAGCGCTGAGTAATATTCCATTATCTGGACGGGCCACAGTTCATTTACCCACTCATCTACTGAAGAACATCTTGGTTGCTTCTAAGTTTTGGCAGTTATGAATAAAACAGTCTGTGCAGACATAATTTCCTAACTCCTTTAGGTAAATACTAAGGGCTGTGATTGCTGGATCGTGTGGTAGGAGTATGTTTAGCTCTGCGAGAAACAGCCACACTGTCCTCCAAAGTGACTGTACCATTTTGCATCCCCTCTAACAGTGCGTGAGAGTTCCGGTTGCTCCACATCTTTACCAGCATTT